TTGTTTTATAAATTTGTGTGAAAAATGGACATTCGGTTTATATGAGTTTGAATCTACCTTACACATAACGAGTCCACTGTATTGCACAAAGACTGATGTTTGGAATAGTTATTCTTGGCAGATTAGAAGCTATAAAAAGGACTAATTTCCTCCCTGATCTGTGCTATTGAGTCCTGACTTGTCTTATAGTGGCAACTGTGATGCCTAAGAAAAGGAAGTAGAACTAACTGCTTTATCCTGTTCCACCAATGAATGACTTCCTTTGTTCTAGAAAATACAAAATAAAACTGGAAAGGTGAGAGCAAGACCATAACCTATGGCTGTGAACATTTAATACTTTCAGTAAAGTCTAAATCAATGCCCCCAAAGAAAAATTCCCCCAGTCTTTAAGATATAATAGCAGATGAAAATGAAAAGCATTCATCAATACTGAATGGCCATCCAAAGCAGTACTATAGGTAAGACATGATATGCACACACACATCTTGCTGACTAGAAAGAGAACATAAAAGCATCTAGCTATCACATCTTCTGTAAGGACCAGGAAATCGATATTCTGAGAGCCTGACTTCAAGCACTTACAATCTACTTGTAAGCTGGCTCATGGAGAAGAGCCCAAGGCACCAGTCAAATGTGTTTATGGGTCAGCTCTGCTCCTGGCCAAGCAGTGTGGGCTCCGGCATGTGGTGACTGGGAGGCGGTGGCCCAGGTTCCTGTGTCAGCTGCAGGTGCTGAGCCGGGCCGGAAGCACTTGCTGCTAAGCGGAGCTCCTCTGTTTGTTCTTGATGGGTGTGAAGATGTGCCAGCGTTTCCTTGGACAGTGTGATTACGTGCACAGGCTCTGTCTGCGAGGGCTCCATCTGGCTTTCAATCATATTGAGGCTCTGACTGTGTTCTGTTTGTTCCTGCTGGGCTGAAAGAAGCAAATTCTGCAGGTGCTCTGGCTGCAGGCTGAGGTTGGCAGCCTGGTCTGCAGTCATGTTCTGGGAACTCTCTGCAGTGACAATGCTGATCCCCTGGCTAGGACCGGGCATGAAATTGATGTTATGAACAGAATCGGTTACAAGAAGCTGAATTTCCTGCTCTCCTGAGGCAGAGAGCTGATATGGCTGTAGCTGAAGAATATTTCGGACCTCTTCAGTATTACTACTGCTGGACACACAGCTAGCATCTGCCGTGTGTTTCTCTTTGCTATGGATTTTCAAGTGAGCCTTCAAGTTGTCTAAGCGGGCAAATTGTAAGTTACACTCTGGGCAGAAGAAAGGCTTTTTGCCTGTGTGCAGAATGCAGTGTCTCCTCTTGGCACTAGAGTCAGAGAAGGATTTGCCACATATGCCACAGGAGTACGGCTTTTCTCCTCTACAAGAAAATAAACATTTATTTAAAAAACAGAAATGCATATCTACTACTTCCTGATTATTTCGAGTGAAGCGGTCAAGAATAGAGGAAAATGAACTAGACTGTGAGTCATAAGTCATGGGTTGGCCTATTAACTTAAGGATGTGGAGCAAGTCCCACTTGAGCTTCAATTTCTAATCTAAAAATATATATAAAAGGGTGGGAGTGGTGCTTAAGAAAAGTGGTAGGTGGGGTTGGGCTAGAGGTAATAAAATTTTATGATTCCATAGTATGGACTTCAGATAAGAAAGTAAATGTCTGCTTACTACACGTAGTTTTTTGCTTTTAGTCCTCACAGCCATTTTTAGACTCCAATGGCCAAATAAGAAGATATGCTTAATGTCAATATTCAAAATTTGGGGCGAGCAGGGGGCCTGGAGATTAAGAAGGCTGGCTCCCGCATGGCTGGCTGAATGATTTGAGTCCTGGACCCAGCAGCTTGAAAAACACACCAGGTGCATGTGCATGCATGCCCAAAGTGCTAAGAGGAGAATGGATTACAGTGTGGCTATCTCCCTTTGGAGGGAATTTCTCACTTTTCCTCTCTCTCTACTGCTCTTTCTCCAGTGAGCATATGCCCTATAGCCAACTAAAAAAATTAAACATTGAATAACCCTTAATTATTTGTGATGAAGTTAAGAGAACTCTTAAATCCTACCTGTGAGTAGCCTGTGTGAATGAAAACATTTATCCAGAAAATATTAATTTTTTTTTGAGAGGTTTTCACTATAGGGCGCGTGTGCTTGCCAGATAGGCAGAGACAGACAAACAGACAGAAAGCGAGAAATCCCCTCCCAGGGGGGATGGCCACACCACAATCCTGTCTCCTCCATTCTCCTCTCAGGATCTTGGGCACGCATGCACACGCACCTGGCATGAGTTTTAAGCTACTGGGTCCGGGACTCGAACCGCAGTCGATTACATGGGAGTCCAGCGAAATAGCCATTATGCTAACTGCTGGTCCTAATATTTATTTTTGATTGAAGATTTAAGCTTTGGACTAACCCCTAGTCCAAAATTAAAATTCAAGAAATAAAATAATGGGGAACCAGCAGTTAGCGTAATGGCTGTGTCGCTGGATTCCCACGTAGTCGACCGCGGTTCGCGTCCTGGACCCGGTGGCTTAGAACTCACGCCGGGCGCGTGTGTGTGCGTGCCCAAGATCCCGAGAGGAGAATGGAGGAGAAGGGATTGCGGCATGACCATCCCCCCTGGGGGGTGATTTCTCGCTTTCTGTGTCTATGTCTCTCTCTGTCTGTCTGGCGAGCGCACGCGCCCTATAGCGAAAACCTCTAAAAAAAAAAAAAAGAAATAAAATAATGCAAATCTTTACAGTCAGAACTTGTACTCCTGATTTTGCTTAAGTGATGAATTTCATTATTGAAAAGATAAAACAAAATAAACTACATAGAAAGCTTTACCAGAGTCAACAATTTGGGGAAAAGGACTCAGTATGTAATATATGTCACCCCCATGAACACCAAAACTAAATGAGGTTTGAATCCGAGATATCTGCAAAACTTTACCGATGGATTCTGATGTGAGTCTGAAGAGAACTCTTTGCCGTGAAAGATTTGCCACAGATTTCACAAGTAAATGGCTTCTCACCTAAAAAAAAGGAAAGCGTTTAGAAATATGCATTCAACATAAAACAGAAACCAAAAACCACCCGCTCTTTGTAAGCATGAATGAATGTAGCACTAACCAAGCATCTCCTCTGTACCTAGACACTCGTGCTAAGTGCCAGAAGGATACAAGGGAAGCATAAGGTACAGTTCTTCCCTTAAAAACTCGAATACTAAAATGGGAAGTTAAGTTTTTATGAAAAGAAAACAAAGGAACATACTGTGTCAACTCTTGCATTCCCCACTGAGCTTTCCTGCCTACTGCTTGACAACCTCCAAGGTTATCTGGGGGATTCTAGGGGTTATCCACATTTCTGTCTGCTTCTCAACATATCCAGGATCTGAGCACTTCTTACTTCCTCCCATCCACTCCCGTCTGGCTGGATCATGGCTTAATGTGCCCTGCTTTCCTGCCGTCCACCAACGGTCTCAGTGCAACTAGAGTGAGACTCAATCCAGTCAGATGATTTTGCTCTTTGCCTGGAAATGCTGTAATGACTCTGCACCTAGAGATAAAAGCCAAAGTCCTTGACCTATGAGGGATCACAAATCTGTACCTCCTATCCCTACTTCTCAACCCCGATCTCCATCTCCTCAGGGTGTCTGTCAGAGTGGCTTACTCACTTCACTCCCATGTCTCTGCTCCCATGTGCTTTATCAGAGAAGATTTATACCACAAAAATCACTACATACTTCCACGCCTTTCAACACAAACATCAAGCCTATTTGCTGTGCTAGGGACAAATGGGACATAGTCTCTGCTTTTGAAGAGCTCCAAATGTCTGATGAGATCAATTTCTTTTTTTTTTTTTCCTTGGGGGTAGGGTGTGTGCACAAAATGGACATTTATTGGCCTTAAGGAATTGTTGGATTTTTTTTTTTTTTTTGAAGTTTTTGCCCTAGGACTTGTGTGTTTGCTGAAGAGAGAGACAGCATCAGTGAGAGGGAAAGTGAGGTATCACCACTCGGGGGAATGGTCACACCACAATCCCTTCTTCTCCTGGGATCCTGGGCACACATGCACACGTGTCTGGCATGTGTTTCAAGCCATTGGATCTGGGACCAAAGCACAGCTGGCCATGTGGGAGTCCAGCAACATAACCACTATGCCATCTGCTGGCCCTATTGTTGATTTTTTTAAAAAGTGTATTCTGTTTTAATTTTTTTTTTACATTTATTTAGTTAGTTATATATTTATTAGTTGTAATTTTCGGGCCACTGGGTCTAGGACTTAACCACAGTCAGTCATGTGTAAGTCCAGAACCTTAACCAACATGCCAGCCCTTATTCATTCATTCATTCATTCATTCATTCACTCATTCATTCATTCATTCATTCATTTATTTATTTATAAATACTAGAGGGTACATGCATGGGGTGAGAGAAGGGGAGAGAAAGCATGCCTCAATGAGGGCTGGTTACTTGGCAAATCCTTTTTCCTCCAATTCTCTATCCTGTAAGGATCCTGGACAAATGCATGAATACCTGGCATATTTTTCAAAGCTCTAGGGGCAGGATTTGAACCCTAGTTGGCCATGTAGTATCTGGCTTCCACTGCAGAGTGCTTAACAGCTATACTATGGGCCTGGCTCAACTTCTAAGTCACGCTGATTACTTTATAGAACCCTGTCTTTTATCCATCACGTTTTCCACTTTCCTCTTCCCCATCTCCTCAGAGGAGACAGGCTGAGAAGGGCTCACTGGGATGAGAGGGGAGAACATCCCTGCTTCAAGGCCCGTTTGTGCTCACAAAGACCAGAAGCCTCACTCCCCCTCACACTCAGGAGACAAAGCCGAGGTGAAACGTCTCCTTGCTGGCACTGCTCCACATGACCAAGCCACCTCAGCTCTCTACCCAGTTCAGTCCCTCACAGCTCCCTGTACCATTTATGGGCATACATGTAGCCATGCGTACACACAGTTCTGCCTGCAGTTCTCCTCTGAACTCCAACTCAAATATCTGATGCCTCCTCCACACCAAAATCGAATTCTCTATGTGCTCCTCCTACTCTTCCCATTTTCCCTCCTTCCAGCTGCTTTTGCCTCTTTTCTTTGACCTCCCACATCCAATCATGAGAGAAACACTGACTCTTCCTCAGAATATATCTGAAAATGGGGCACTTGCCACTTCTACTGCTCTGAACTGCAACCCCTAATTATGACAGCCTCCTAGTGGGTCTTAGGGTTCCAGTCTTGCCTCACCCCACCCCATTCTACATGGCAGCTGCAGTGATCCTATTAAAGTTCTAAGTCAAGCCTTGTCACTTCTCTCAGTAAAGTCATCTCAGAATGAAATCCCAAGTCTGTTGTGAGTGCAGACTGGAATCACCATGGGGTATTTTTTTTTTTTTTGGAGAGATTTTCACTGTAGGGCGCGTACGCTCGCCAGACAGACAGAGAGAGACATAGAGACAGAAAGCGAGAAATCACTCCCCAGGGGAGATGGTCACGCCGCAATCCCTTCTCCATTCTCCTCTTGGGATCTTGGGCACGCACGCACACGCGCCCGGCGTGAGTTTTAAGCCACCGGGTCCAGGACGTGAACCGCGGTCGACTACGTGGGAGTCCAGCGACATAGCCATTACGCTAACTGCTGGTTCCCACTATGGGGTATTTTTTAAAATGCCAATTCTGGAACCAGCAGATGGTGTAATGGTTACATTGCTGGATTCCCACATGGCTGACCATGGTTTGCATCCTGGATTCGGAGTCTTAAAACACATTGGGTGTGTATGTGTGTGTGTGCACAAAATCCCAAGAGAAGAATGGAGGAGAAGGGACTACTCCCCGGATGATTTTTCGCCTTCTGTCTCTCTGTTGAGTGCACACACCCTATAGCAAAAATCTCCCTAAAAAATAATACAACAAAAATGCCAATGCCCAAGTTCTATTTCTGGTTGATCCAATAATAATTTGTGATGTTCAGACCAGGGGCTTTTATTTTTAGGTAGGTGAGGTGTGTAGGTAACTGAGGTAACTCTCCCTGACTGCACAGACTCAAGCTGTCTCTGACATTCACTCCACTACTATCCCTTATTCCCACCACCCCTGCTCAGCCTCAATCACTCCTGCCTCCTTGCACTGTTCTGGAATGACAGGACCAGTTCTGACATTCCCACTGTACACATGCTGACTCCTGCCTTGGAGGCTGTCTCCTGGATATCCTGGATGGCTGGCCTGCTCCCCACCCCACTCTCATCTCCATCCAAGATGCCACATGATCTGTGGGGCGTTCCCAGAGCTGGCCCCACATAAAGAGCAGTTTCCATCACACACTTCATCCCCTTACCCTGTGATTTACTTCTCCACGGCACTGCTTTCACCTTAGATGTTACATACTCAGTGGCTCTCTATCTGCCCTGATGGAATACTGGGCTCTTGATAGGGGCCTCTGCCCTTCCTACTGCTGTGTCTTCAAGGCCTATGACAGGCCCAGTACTTGGTTAATTGCAGGCCTGGTAACTGGTAACAACTGGTAACTGGATCTCACAGCACATATTAATGATAACGTCTGCAGAAAGATGGTATAGAAACCAATTTCATAAACTTAAAGTCTGATACTTACTGACTTTAAGAAGAAAAACTTTCTTGGAGCCAGTAGGTGGCACAGTGCTTATGGTGCTGGAATTCCACATGGCCAACTGTGGTGCAAGTCCCTACCTGGTGGCTTGAAAATCATGCTGGGCCCATTTGCATGAGGGCCCAAAATCCAAAGAGAAAAATGGAGAAGGAATTGTGGTGTGGCCTACCCCCAACCCCACACCTGGGTGGGGAGTGATTTCTCACTTTCCCCCTCTGTCTCTCCCTGGTAAGCATATACACCCTGTGGCAAAAAATGAAAAAAGAAAATAACTTGTATCTAAAAAACAGGGTATTCGGGATTAGCAGATGGTTTAACGGTTACATCGCTGGACTCCCATGTAGTTTACTGTGGTTCAAGTCCCAGACCCAAAGGCTTAAACTCACACCAGGTGTGTGTGCCCAACATCCCAAGAAGAGAATGGCGGAAAATGGGTTGCAGCATGGCCATTCCTCCAGGGAGTAATATTTTGCTTTCTGTTTCTCCCTGTTGAGCACATACACCCAAGAGCAAAATATCTCTCTCAAAAAAATAAAATAAAATAAAAAAACAAGGTCTTGGGCCAGCCCTGGAGTATAGGAATTAAATGCTAGAATATAGGGAGCTGGATCCCACAGGACTGACTTTAGTACTAATCCCAGAGACTTAGAAAACATATTGGGCACTTGTATGAATATCCCAAATCCTGACAGGACAGATCAATTGAGAAGAAAGAATTGTGATGTGACTACTCCCCATTGGGAGGTGTCTCTTTCTCCCACCCAGCACACCCTCTTGCAAAAGAAAAAAAAAAAGAATGTCTAAAGCACTACTAATTTGATATGTAATCTTAGGGCACAATTTCACAGAATCATTATATAATCAAACTACCATGAAAAGTTATTTTTTGTTCACTCATAATGAAGTATGTATGTGTGCACATGAGAGAGAGAGAGTGGTGAGCCAGATAAACAGGGTCTGGTTGCACTGTGACCTCCTTCCTCCATTCTTTCAGCCCCTTGGCTCTTGATCACCCATGTGTATCCAGAGTTTCAGCCCATTGGGCCAGAATTCAAACCATGGCTACCATGTAGGATCAGGCTTCTCTCTTTTATTTTTAGGTTTTTACAATAGGGTATGTGCATGTATGCACCAGAGACAAGGAAAGTGAGAGATTATCCTCCAGGAAAATGGCCACAATCCCTTCTCTTCCACTCTCCTCCTGGGATAGTGGGCATTCATGCACACATGTCCAGTGTTAAGTTTCAAGCCACCGAGTCCGGGAGTCAAACTATAGTCAGCCATGTGGTGGGAGTCCAGCAATCAACACACCACCTGCTGGTCCTGAGATCTGGTTTCTCTTAAGCAGTGTGTTACTGCTACACCACAAAGCTAGCTTAGACAGTTTTTTTTTTTTCTTCTTTTAAATAATTATTTAACTTTACTTATTTGCTTATTTTAATTTGACCAGAAAGTGGGGAGGTGGGGAGGAGAGAAAGCAAGCCACCAGGTTGCCAGGTCCAGGACTCGAACTGCAGTCAGCCATGTGGGAGCCCTTAACCACTACACCACCTGCCAGCCCCTACGTTTTTTTCCTTTAGCTTTTAGGGTGCACACACTCGCCATTGAGAGAAGGAAAGTAAGAAATTGCCACCTAGGGGGTTGGTCACACCACAGTCCTTTTTCCTTTTATTCTCCTCTTGGGATTTTGGGCACACGCACACACGTGTCACCAGATCCAGGATTCCAACAGCACAGCCAGCCATGTGGGATCTATGTCTTAACCAGAATATTACCTGCTGGCCTGAAAGTTTTCCTGGAAAATCAAATGGGCTTATTTTTTAATATACGCTCCTTACCAAAAGATGTAAAAGGCCCCTATTTTTACTTTTCTGGTCTTAAATATTATTATTTTTTTTTTGTCAGAGACTATGTGTGCTTGCTGGAAAGTACTCCCTAGTGGGACATGGTCACATTGCAATCCCTTCTCCATTTCTCTACCCCACTGGGATTTTAGGCACCCTCCCTTTCCCTCTATTTCTCTATCCTAGTGGAATTTTAGCCACCCAAGCACGTGCACCTGGCACATTTTTCAAGCCACCAGGGCCAGGATGTGAACTGTGGTTGGCCATATGGGATCCAGCTCATATAGCCACTAGGCCCTACACTTCTGCGTTTTTTGCTAAAGGGCACTGTAGTGCGTAGTTAGGAGAGATTGGTGGTGGTAGGAGGGGTGGAGAGTGAATGAAAAATCACCCACTATGAGGTGACCCCATAGGGGATGGTCAGGCTGCAATCCCTTTCTCCTCCATTTCTCCCTACTTTTGGAATTCTGAATATGCATATGCTCAGTGTGTCTCCCAAGACACCAGGTCTGGGACTTGAACTGTGGTCAACCATGTGGGATCCAGCTGCTTTAAACATAATGTTCTTAAATGGAAAATACTGACCTGCACCAATGAACCCTGCCTTTTATCCTAGAAGCTGATTTTTTTCTGGAGGTGGTAGTGCTTAAGGGGAGAGAAAGTAAAAGAAAATCTCAGTGTCTATGCTACCTTTATATGTTTTACAGTTGCTTCCTTTCCTTAAAAATTATCCTGATAGGGAACCAGCAGTTAGCGTAATGGCTATGTCGCTGAACTCCCATGTAGTTGACCGCGGTTTGCGTCCCGGACCCGGTGGCTTAAAACTCACGCCGGGCGCGTGTGCGTGCGTGCCCAAGATCCCGAGAGGAGAATGGAGGAGAAGGGATTGTGGCGTGACCATCCCCCCTGGGGGGTGATTTCTCGCTTTCTGTCTCTATGTCTCTGTCTGGCGAGCGCACGTGCCCTATAGTGAAAACCTCTCCAAAAAAAGAAAAAAAAATTATCTTGATAATCTTTAATGCTGAAGTAAACTCAGAGTACAACAAAGAACCAGGGCTGGCCCCATAACACAGAGGTTAAGTGCTGCACGCAGAAAGTTGCATTCAACATGGCTGGCTGCGGTTTGAATCCTGGCCCCACTGGCCAAGTGCTTGTGTGTGCATGTCCCAAATCCTGATGTGATGGAGAAATGGAAGAAAGGGACAGAGATACAACTGTGCTGCACTGGAGGTGCTTTCTCTTTCTCTCCCCCCTTTTCTCTCTGGTGAGCATGTGCACCCTCTGGTGAAAAGAAAGAGGGAGTCCCAGACTCAGACTGTTTTGTGACTTTGAGATTCCCCCCCGCCCCCACCTTTTTTTCTTTTCTTTTTCTTGGGAGAGTTTTTTTCTATAGGGCATATGTGCTCGCCAGAAAGACAGAGACAGCAGAGAGATAGAAAGTGAGAAATCACCCCCTGGGAGGATGGGGTGATTCACGCCACAATCCCTTCTCCTCCATTCTCCTCTTGGGATCTTGGGCATGCATGCACACGCGCCCGGCCTGAGTCCAAGCTACCTGGTCCAGGACTGAAACCATGTTTGGCTACATGGGAGACCAGTGACACAACCATATGTCAACCGTTGGTCCCCATGACGTATTTTTCTATGGAAAAATGACTCATGACTTTTCCAACAATCCAATAGTTTAGGCCAGCCTCGAGCTTATGACCCTCCAGCCTCAGCCTTCCCAAGTCACTGAGATTACAGGTATATGCCACCACACCTGGCCTTTAGGTTGGGCTAGGAATGGAACCCAGGTTTTCCACATGCCCCCAGTCTACTAAAGACAGTATCTACAGCAGGCACCACCACAGCTGGGTTCTGTTTTGTGATACTGAATGAATTTTCATGTGTGAACAGTACTTAGTAAGTGGTATCCATTTTGCTAGCCTACAAACAGAGATGATTTCCCCATAGAACAGTGCTAATAGCATTCCACATTTGGCTTTTAAATGCTCTGCTTCTAAAATATCCACTCAATTTCCAATAAATATTTCTTATATAGGCTCAAGAAGAGACTCTGAGTACTCATTCATTTTCCCGAAAGCATCAAATATACCAGAGGTAAGACAGACAAGATGGAATTTTACCTGTGTGCGTTCGTAGGTGTTTCTTTAGCTGAGACACATCCATGAATTTGCGATGGCAGTGATTACATTCCGGTAATGAGTGGCCTTGTCGCAATAATAAAAAAAGTGTCAGTGTATATATGCTCTCCCTGCATTTCTTCTGTGATTTGTGTTAAAGCACTTCCCTGAAAAATAATCACTTTAAATATGGTATTTTAATAAAACAACAAAACTTTTTGTCTTAATTTGGTAAGATTAATATTTGTCTCTGCGCCTCAACTCTTTGTTTCCCCAAGAGAGCTGGGATACTTCTAATCCTCAAGAATATAATAATCTCAAAGTATTGGTATGACTGCAGCCAACTGATCTCTCCTGATGCTCTCAATCCCATGTTTGTTTCTTATCAATTAGCCCGGGAAAGGAAAATAAACAACAAAGACAATGGACAGAGCCAGATGGGAGAAAGTCCAGATACATACCCGCATGGTGGTGATTTCTCTGCCCAGGCACCATAACAACCAATCAACTGGGACCCCTTTAGGCAAGTAGGGGTGATTCTGTTTTTTTAAAACTCTTTTCCCTTGGGACCAGCAGGTGGGGTGGTAGTTAAGGCACTGGACTCCCACATGGCTCACCATGGTTCCAGTCCTGGACCTGGTGGCTTGAAACTCACACTGGGCATGTGTGCAGGTGTGTCCAAAATCCCGAGAAAATGGTGGAGAAAGGATTGCAGCATGGCCATCCTCTCTCGGGGGGTCATTTCTCACTCTCTCCATCTCCATCTCTCTGGTGAGCACACATACCCTATAGCAAAAATCTCTCAAAATAGAAAAAAATAGTAACTCTTTTTCCTACTCACTCATCTTCTATAATAAGAACCTAATGTTACATAAACGAGTTGCAGTTTAATTTCTTTCCCACCAACCCAAATTTCCTTTCGCGTTACTGTACCTGTATGGATTCGATAATGGCTCTTTAGTTGTCTTCTCTGGCTAAAATATTTTCCACACTGATCACAGGTAAAAGACTTCTGTCCTGTCAAACAAACAAACAAAAAACACTGGGGCCAACAGGTGGCATGGAGGTTAAGGTATCTGAATCCCACATGGCGACTGTGTGGTTCGAGTCCCCAACCAGGCAGCTTGAAGAATCACTCAGGTGGGTGTGCATGCATACTCCAAATCCCAAGAGAATGAGGAAGGGATGGTCATAGTCCTAGGGAGTGTTTTCTAACTTTCATTCTCTCTCTCTCAGGCAAGTGGACATAGCCTACAGCAATGAACAAACAAAAACACTAAAGCATGCAAAAAATTATAATTAAATTGCCCAACCACAGTAGACCCAGGTCCCCATTTTCTATAAATGATAATTCAAGTTTCCCCTAAAGGTTTCAAAGTAAAATAATTCGAGGGGGTCAGAAGGTCCCAGATTCATCTCCAGAGACTTCTTTGAGTACAACAGGCATCCATAATTAGGGCTGGCTGAAGCTAGGGGTGACTGCTACTTTAAGACTCTGATGGGGATGCTCTGTCTCTCATGGAAGAAATAAGTAAAACATTAAAAAAAATTTAAAAGGACATTAATGAAGTAAAAATAATTCTACAGTGTGGAGGTTACATAAAACATGTTTGCATACTGAATACCCAGCAGCCAGTTTACAAGCCGTAGATTAAGGTTCAGTGCTGTATAGAAACTGTAAACTGCATTGTAACAGATGGATAATCTTGTCTTCCAATGACACCATGTGGGAAGTGATATCAAGCTAAGAAAAAACCATTTACATCCCACTAGCACCCACCCTGGGACTGAAAATCTGGTGGCATTTGGCCCTCTGGTGCCTGCCAGGCTACCTGAATGCAGGCTCATGTGCTCCAGCAGCGAGTGCTTGGTGGTCAAAGCCTTGCTGCACACGGTACAGGTGTATGGCCGCTGGCCTGTGTGCATCCTGGTGTGGACCTGTAGGGAGTGCTTCTGGGCAAAGTCTTTTCCACACTCATTGCACTTGAAAGGTCGCTCCCCTGGAATAAGAGCCCCAGAAGCATGGTGTAAGCAAGAATCTGCCCATCTTTTTGTTCCCTCCCAAATTAAAATGGTAAGAGAGTCTGCTCTTAAAAGGCACACATCTGAAAGGTCAAAGAAAGGGAGACACATCAGCAATGAAATTCTGGATGTTCAACTTTTTGAACCTATTCTCTCTCTCTCTCTTTTTTTTTTTTTTGTTTAAGTTTGCTAGAGGGTTTGTGCACTGCTAGACACACAGAGATAGGCAGTAGGAAAGAAAGTGAGAAATCAGCCCTGGGGGATGGCCATGCCACAATCCCTTCTCCTCTATTCTCCTCCTGGGATTTTGGGAATGTATGCACATGTGGCCAGTGTGATTTTCAAGCTGTGAGGTCTGGGATTCAAACCACGGCTGGTCATGTGGGAGTCCAGTGTCTTAACCACTTCACCACCTGTTGGCCCCAAGAATTACATTATTCTACATGAATTGTTAAGAAAAAAATGTATTGGGACCAGCAGGTGTTGTGGTATTTAAGGCACTGGACTCGCACATGGTTCAAACCCTAGATCTGGAGCTTGAAAATCATGCCTGCTGTGTGTGTGTGTGTGTGTGTGTGTGTGTGTGTGTGCGCGCCCAAAATCCCAGGAGAAGGGACTGTGGTGTAGTCATGTCCCCTGGGGGGGGCGATTTCTCACTTTTCCTCTCACTGAATCTTTCAAGTGAGTACACGCGCCCTGTGGTAAAAACTTAATAATAAAAAAAAGGAATGATTTCATTCTTTAAACTATGCATATATGTATTTCTGATTAAAAAAATATATAATTTATTATAAGATTAAAAACTATGGGGCCAGCACGTGGTATAGTGGTTAAGGCACTTGACCCTCACACGGCCAACTGCAGTTCAAGTCCTGAAACTGGTGCGGCTGCATGTGAGTCCAAAATCCTGAGAGGAGAATGGATTATAGGTAGCCATGGGGGGTGTGATTTCTCACTTTCCCTCTTAGTCTTTCTCAGTGGCTCTCCAGCAAGTTCACGTGCCTTCTAGTGAAAACCTTAAAATAAATAAATAAATAAAATAGAACCTATTACAACAGTAACAAAATACAGGCAATTCCAGGCTTATAAGATGGTTTAATTTATGATTTGAAGTCTTGAGAGGAGAATGGAGGACAAGGGAGAGCAGCATGGTCATTCCTCCTGGGAGGTGATTTCTCACTTTCCCTCTCTCTCTCTCCCACTGGAACACAAGTGCCCTATAGCAAAAATCTAAAAACAAAACAACACCAGTTTCTTGGTTACACTGACACAATTCAAGTGCTCAAAATCCACACGTAGAGCTGACCTTGTAGCACAGTGGCTAAGGGAGCAAGTCTTACACAGCCGACTGAGGTCTCAACCCTGGCGGCTTGGAAAAAAACATGCCGGGCACACACGCTTGCACGCTCCAAATCCCAACGGTATAAAGAAATGGCAGAGAAAGGGTTGTGGTGTGATTGTGCCTCTTTGGAGTTGTCCCTCCCACAACTATGACTAGCACACGTACCCTCTGGCAATGAAGAAAAATTCCACATGTGGCTACTGTCCCTCACACTGGGCAGTATGTATTTAGAACACTCGTCATTATGGAAGGGCCTACTGGCCAGTACTGGGCTAAAGGGACCAAAAAGGAGAAAGCAATTACAGCTAGATGGCTGAATCAGAAAGCTGTCCACACAGACATAGCAACAGCATATCTATAGTCAAGATGAAGACTATTCAAGAATCAAAATGCAAAGCAAATTGGACACCTAGAGCTTGACAACTGGAAGTAAAGCCTTGAACCAACTAAGAGGAGTTTTAGAATTAGGCTACCTGGGTTCATAGCTAAGCTATCAATAAATGGGTAAGCCAGGTTGTTATTAAGCTCTGAAAGAGTTGGGTTTCTTCATTTGTACAATGGAGATAACAAATGAGGGTCTTCAAAAAGTTCAAGGAGATGCATATTAGGAAAAATCTATGCATACATTTCAATTTTTTTTGCGTCAAAATAATCTTGGACTTTAACTCCATTTTGATGTTTTGGTATTGACAACCTCACAGGACTATTGTAAGAATTAAATGCACTCAAGTGTAAAAGGCTGTATTACAATACTCATCACATAGAAGCTTTGTGCCATAGGGCGGGCGTAACCATGCCCAACATAGAAGCTTTGTGATAAATGAAAGCTATTATAATATTTTCATTTGTACTACAAATTCAAAAACACACCATACAAAGCTGTGAAAGTGTAATTACCTGTGTGGCTCCTTTGATGGATTGCTAAAAAGTGATTGTATTTAAAAACTTTGCCACAGTCTTTACAACGGGCCTCAGGACCAGCAGGGCGCTTTCTCCTTCCACAAATCCTCTTAGCTGAACCCTGGTCTTCTTCATCCCCAACAAGTTTGTAATCTTTAAGTTTGACAGATCTCCGAATCCTCCGCTTGCTGTACCGACTCTGGCTGTCTTGCCCATCCTGGGTCTTGGGATCCTGGTTCTCATCTTTTTCAGCTGGCATTTCCTCCACTCTACCTGGCTCACAAGCAGGCTCAGTTTCTTCCTTTTCTTTGACTGGAATGTGTTCATTCAGAACATCATTGTCTCCTTCTTTAAATACAAAATTCTGTCTATTCTGAACTGAATTGTTCACTCTTAATTGTATTTCTTCCTCTGCAGCCAGTTCTGACTTCCGCTCCTGCATACTGTTGACTTTTCTTGGTCTTCCCCGTTTCCTCTTTGGAGGATCATTTTTTTTATTAGAAATAACCACCACTGGAGCACCAGCAGTGTTCAAAGTCACAGGCTTTGGGGAATTATGAGTATGTTGAAAGTCTGTGAAAGCCTTTACTAGGTCATAGACTTTTAAGAACTGAGCAGTAGCGAGGATCTGTTCTGTACTTTTCTCACTGGCATGGAGATAACCTGTGTAGATAAACTCCAGCAAGATACCAAAGGTGTCTGCAACCATGCCCTCGAGCATGTAAATAGACTGGCCGATCTCCCCCTCTTCTGCAAACATCATTGAGAAGTACTCGCTACTGGCAGCTAGTAAAGCTTTGTGGGCACGGAAATGCACATTCTCCACGATTAAAGTAATGTCACAGAGGAAGCCTTTCTTCCTCTGATCTTCCAAACTGGCCAGGACCGTGTCACTGTGAGTGTCTGAGTGTACAGAAAGCTGTAGGGAAGGCTCTGGTGATGTTTCTGCCATTTTCTTAGAAACCAAGAAGTCTTAAATCTGAAATAAGCAATGTTTAAAAACAAGAGAGCACTGTTTTAATATCCCAGACCACATGAACCTACTATTTATTGCACATGATTAACTGAATTTTACAATTACCACTTTTTTAAAAAAAGAATAACTTAATTTTAACCTTATTATTTTTTAAATTTTGCAATGGGGCACGAGCGCTCACCAGAGAGAGAGACAAAGAGATGGAGAAACAGAAAGTAAGCTGCCAGGTCTGGGATTTGAATTTCCACCAGCCGCATGGGAATCCAGAGCCCTAACCACCACGCCCCCTGTTTGCCCCCAATTACCATGTTTAAAAAAGTCTATTTAAAAACTTAAGATTTGCGTTCTCGGTCCTGTTATATTGTTACCTCGCCGGGTAAATGTCCAATACCCATGTCACCACTCAGGGTCTGTTTTCCATCTCAATTTAAGGACTGCAATCAACCATCTCTAAAGTTCTTTCTAGCGCTAACTTTCCTCCGGTTACATAAATACCAGAACGAGAACTGCACTGCTTCAGTCTCACACATTATTCGCCAATTCGGCTATAGGGGTAAATTTTAAAAAGGCGAAGAAAACGTCCATGTGCAAAGTGAATTTGGAGGAAATGCAATAAAATAATAACGTAAGCCGCATTGGACGGGTGGCGTGGAAAGGCCAGGCTGGTGGCAGACGGCACGCAGCGCGGACACCCCCGAGTCCCAACCCCCAAAGACACGGGGCCGGTCGAGCGGGGAGCGGAGGGGCCGT